TTAAAGCAGCCCAAACCCCCAGGGTCTGGATTAATGTCACAAGTTTGCTATCTCTCCCTGGAAGACAATTTCTTCATGAGTGGAATTAAATCACTTCTCAGCCTGAGTCCTTTGCTCTTAATCCTGAGGATATTGTCCCACCGTGGGGCCATTTCCTGCCTCTCTTTCACACACAAGGACAATTTTCTTTGCACAGACACAGGAACAGCAAGATCTTTGTCTGTCTCTTGTGCAAAGCAGGGTGTTGAATTCTATGGAACCCTCCCTTCTGCAACGGAAACAATGGAGAAGCAGGGGGCCCTGGGCACATCTAGCCCTGGCTGGGAGATGTTCCCTCCCCGCTTTCTTTATGCTGCTATTGTTATTTCGTGGAATGTCTGGGATAGGGGGAAAATGCTGAATTCACTCCCTGCTGAGGATGGAGCTCGGCTGTTCTCAGTGGTGGTAGATGACAGAACATGCTTGCTGGGCACAAGCAAAGCAGCAGGAGAACCTGGAGATGATGGGGATTCAATCCAGGGCCTTATATATGAAAAACATGCACTCTACCACAGAGCTGCAACCGCACACAGGCCCTGGTTTTTAGGTGTTACACTAAGAGTCCTCCTGTTTCCAGAGCCGACAGTGGCCTATAATCATAGAAGATCAAGGTTGGAAAAGACTTCAGGAGGTATCTAGCCCAACCCCCTGCTCAAAGCAGGACCAACCCCAACTAAATCATCCCAGCCAGGGCTTTGTCAAGCTGGGCCTTAAAAACTTTAAGAATGGAGATTCCACCACCTCCCTAGGGAACCCATTCCAGTGCTTCACCACCCTCCTAGTGAAATAGTGTTTCCCACACTTCAACTTGAAACCATTGCTCCTTGTTCTGTCATCTGCCACCACTGAGAACAGCCAAGCTCCATCCTCTTTAGAGCCCCCTTTCAGGTAGTTGAAGGCTGCTATCAAATCCCCCCTCACTCTTCTCTTCCGCAGACTAAATAACCCCAGTTCCCTCAGCCTCTCCTTGTAAGTCATGTGCTCCAGGCCCCTAATCATTTCCATTGTCCTCTGCTGGACTCGCTCCAATTTGTCCACATCCTTTGGGCGGGGGGGGGGGTGAGAGGGGCAAAACTGGACACAGTACTCCAGGTGTAGCCTCACCAGTGCCAAACAGAGGGGAACAATCACGTCCCTCGATCTGCTGGCAATGCCCCTACTTATACAGCCCAAAATGCCATTAGCCTTCTTGGCAACAAGGGCACACTGTTGACTCATATCCAACTTCTCGTCCACTGTAACCCCTAGGTCCTTTTCTGCAGAACTGCTGCCGAGCCATTCGGTCCCTAGTCTGGAGCAGTACATGGGATTCTTCCATCTTAAGTGCAGAACTCTGAACTTGTCATTGTTGAACCTCAGATTTCTTTTGGCCCAATCCTCCAATTTGTCTAGGTCCCGCTGGACCCAATCCCTCCCCTCCAGTGCTTGGATGCTTTTATGTTTTCACAGAGGAAAGAGTACATGTTCCATGATTTCACAGGGCAGAGTTTTAGGGCTATTTTGATTCAGGGAACTATGCTATAGGGTGCCTTCCCAGGGTGGACATGACAGGTGGATCAACATAGATGTACACTGTGACCCTTCTCAGGGTGCTGAGGGCTGTGAGTCTCCTTGTTGCCATCTTCAACTAGAAAGAGGGACTTTTGCATTTGGCAGCTGGATGTTTGCGACCAAATTCATCCAGCTGGTCAGGCACTCAAGCACCCTCCTCTGAGCTACAGCAGCCCTGCCAGTTGACAATAGAGGCACCCAAACCCCTGAGTTTCTTCCATGTGTCCTCCTCTGAGGTCCAGCCCCGATCACCAGATACTCAGAGAAATCCCAGATCCTAGCTTCCTGAAGGAACGGTATATCCCAGGTTACCAGTTTTACTGCAGACCACTTCTACTGCATCACACACAGCACTTGAGTACAGTTATTGAACAAACAGAAATTTATTTAACAAGGGATAGAGATTTAAATAGAAACAAACGTGTGTGATGGAAACCATGCATTACCAACAGAACAAAATTACAAAATGCAACCTACAGCCTCTAATAGTCACCTTTCCCTATCTAAGTAGATTCTCACCTCACACTTCAGTCTATTGCAGCGATTGCCTTTGATGAAGCACCACTGGTCATCAGGGATCACCTTGGTGAATGGACCGGAGTGTTTTTCTCCACCCTGTTATAAACTGAATCCGTCTTTTTTCTTTATTCACAGAAAGGACGATCTCCTCATTGTCATAGTGTCCTTTTCACTTCCACAGAGTTTTGATGTCTCGAGTTTGTCTTTGATAGTTTTCCGTTGGCTTTTCTAGGTTTGTGCAAAGGTTGACAGTTGAGTAATATATCGTATAATTGGCTAGCAAGGGAGGGGTGACAATTCCCTCCCACTGGAATGGGCCGTCCACCCCAAGACAAATTATTGGAGTGACTCCCTTTCATGACAATACCATATGGGCATAATTTTCCATGTACTTCTATTACTCCTTCAGTATGACTCGTACAAAGCTCTCGTAGTGACTAGGAGTAACAATAATTTACAAGCTTTCAGTAGAGGTCTTACTGCTATGCTTCCTGAATAAATATCATAAAAGCAGTGTATTAGGTGTGGCAAGTTTGTCAGGTCTGAGACCGGAGTTGCTTGTGAATAACAGTGACTCCTTTGCTAATTGGCACCAATGAGCTTTTGTCACACATGCACTGAGCTATACAGTCCCACTCTGATATAATAGAACGGCCAGCACAAAAAATAGAGAAAGGAAGAAGACGACACTAAAATGATAACGGCTGAAACTCTCCACTTCTCTCAGTCTTTGGATTGATGGGTACAAAGAGCTGTAGCTACAGTTGAGGAACCAGGTGATCTGATAGCTGGCTCAGCCCTCTATATTAGGAGATTTCTCACATACAGGGAGAAAAGTCGAAATCGAAATTGAGGTCATGACTGGATTCCCTGAGAGCCACATTGAGGGCCACATCAGAGTTGTGAAACTGTACGGAAGGCTGTGCCCCCACCCCCTCCCACTTCCTGCCCCCTGACTGCCCCACTCAGAACTTCTGACCCATCCCAACTCCCCCTGCTCCTTGTCCCCTAACCGCCCCCGGACCCCCTACCCCAAACTACCCTCCCAGGATCCCATCCTCTCCAAGCCCCTGCTTGCCTATCCACAGCCCCACCCCCTGAGACTCCCATGCCTTATCCAAACCCCCCTACTCCTTGTCCCCTGACGGCCCCCAAAGGCTCCTGCCCCTTATCCCCCACTGCCCCCTTTCCATGCCGCTCAGAGCAGCAGGAGTTCATAGCCATGCTGCTGGTGCAGCTGCCAGGGAGGAGGGACAGCAGGGGAGGGGTAGGGGTCTAGCCTCCACAGCCAGGAACTCAAGGGCCAGGCAGGACAGCCTCGCAAGCTGCAGTTTGCCCACCTCTGTCATAGGAGATCCGTCTCTCTCAGCGTATATCTACCCTTCAAACACGGGAAGCATTCTTCTGACAACCTAACCCTGTCTACACTGGGGCTCAGATCACATTAACTACTTCTCTCAGGGGAGTGGATTTTTCACACCCCTGAGAGATGTGGCTATGTCCACATCACTTCCCAGTGTAGACCAGCCTTTAGATGGCTTTTTTCATATGAAAGGCAATGGACTTCAGCTTTTTCCTTTATATTGATGGTTGACGATTGCAACTTTCCTACCTGCTGGACACATCCTGTGACAGATGTCATGCTTTTCCTTTGCAAATTACAGAAGTGGGGAAGTCAGTGACCCTTACAGTCTAAGTGGGGAAAAAGGTTATACAACTTGTCTCCTCCAGTAGTTTTCCTTTTAATAGAAATTGACTTTGAAACTAAGCAAAATATGTTCTATTTAAAATAGAAACAATTAAAATCTACACTGGCCCAATATTCTCTTATACACTAGTTTCAGAGTAACAGCCGTGTTAGTCTGTATTCGCAGAAAGAAAAGGAGGACTTGTGGCACCTTAGAGACTAACCAATTTATTTGAGCATGAGCTTTCGTGAGCTACAGCTCACTTCATCGGCTGCATACCGTGGAAACTGCAGCAGATATTATATACACACAGAAATCATGAAACAATACCTCCTCCCACCCCAATGTCCTGCTGGTAATAGCTTATCTAAAGTGATCATCAAGGTGGGCCATTTCCTGCACAAATCCAGGTTCTCTCACCCCCTCGCCCCCCTCCAAAAACCACACACACAAACTCACTCTCCTGCTGGTAATAGCTCATCCAAAGTGACCACTTTCCCTACACTCTGCATGGTAATCAAGGTGGGCCATGTCCAGCACAAATCCACAAATCCGGGGGGGGGTGAGAAAGCCGGGATTTGTGCTGGACACAGCCCACCTTGATTACCATGCACATTGTAGGGAGAGTGGTCACTCTGGATGAGCTATTACCAGCAGGAGAGTGAGTTTGTGTGTGTGGTTTTTGGAGGAGGGTGAGGGGGTGAGAGAACCTGGATTTGTGCAGGAAATGGCCCACCTTGATTATCATGCACGTTGTGAATAGAGTTGTCACTTTGGATGGGCTATTACCAGCAGGAGAGTGAGTTTGTGTGTGGGGGGTGGAGGGTGAGAAAACCTGGATTTGTGCTGGAAATGGCCCAACTTGATGATCACTTTAGATAAGCTATTACCAGCAGGAGAGTGGGGTGGGAGGAGGTATTTTTTCATGCTTTGTGTGTATATAAAAGAGATCTTCTAAACTTTCCACAGTATGCATCCGATGAAGTGAGCTGTAGCTCACGAAAGCTCATGCTCAAATAAATTGGTTAGTCTCTAAGGTGGCACAAGTCCTCCTTTTCCTCTTATACACTAGTTCTCACAAAAAGAACTGGAGGACTTGTGGCACCTTAGAGACTAACCAATTTATTAGAGCATAAGCTTTCGTGAGCTACAGCCCCCTTCATTGGATGTATAGAATGGAACATATCAGAAGAAGAGATTTTACACACACACGGTGGAAGTTGCCATACAAACTGTAAGAGGCTAATTAATTAAGATGAGCTATTATCAGCAGGAGAAAAAAACTTCTGTAGTGATAATCAAGTTCGCCCATTTAAACAGTTGACAAGAAGGTGAGAGGATACTTAACAGAGAAAGATTCCTCCTGCTGATAATAGCTCATCTTAATTAATTAGCCTCTCACAGTTTGTATGGCTACTTACACCTTGTGTGTGCGTGTGTGTCTCCCTTCTTACTATATGTTCCATTCTATGCATCCGATGAAGTGAGCTGTAGCTCACGAAAGCTGATGCTCAAAGAAATTGGTTAGTCTCTAAGGTGCCACCAGTCCTCCTGTTCTTTTTGCGGATACAGACTAACACGGCTGCTACTCTAAACCTGTCACTATTTCTCTCACACTTTCTCCCACCCCAACCTTTGGAGTGAGGTTTTCTGCCAGAACTCCTTACACTACAGGGGGTAAATTAAATCAAATTAACTTTTCAAGATCAGCCATCATTTCCTGTACGACTAACAAAACAAAAAACAAGACAACTTTCAGTTTTCCAAAATAATTCAGATCACACAATTAGTCTCTTACTCTTTAACCAATCACTTCACCTATAATTTCATTCTCATTGGTAACAACAACATATTCAAAGATCACAAATTCTTGTCATACATGTTCGTTTTCTTTTAATCCCCACTGCCAACAGCTATACCTTGGCTCAAGTGGTGGTTTGTCCCAACCACTTCTGTGAGTCCATATATCTCTAGTTCTTCTCCAAGACAAGGTCTCCTAGGTGGGAATGTTTGTATCATGAGGAAAAATACCTCTTTTCACTCTTTTTAATCTTTCAAAGTAGGAGAAGGTAGAGGAGAAGGGATGTAAATGCATACTGAAAAAGATAAAGCTGTCTGGTCTACACTAAAGACATTTATCAGTAAAAGTATATAGCTCAGGGGTGTGAAAAATCCACACCGCTGAGCAACATAGTTACAGAGACCTAACTCCCTGTGTAGACAGCACCACATCAGCAGGAGAGCGTCTCCTGCCAACATAGCTACCACCGCTTGTGGGGGTTGGACTAATGACGTCCAACACGAGAGATCTCTCCCATCGGCTCATAGCGGTGCTACGGCAGCACGGCGACATTGCTGCAGCTGTGGCAACATCACCTTTATTGTGTAGCCGGAGGGCCAGATGCAAAACCATGGAATCAGGACTCAACATGCGAGTATCCAGGAGTCTGAAATTGGAGCCTGGCTCATTCGTTGCCTCAAAGGTTACCATCATTTCTACAGCCTGAAAGTCCTTGTTACCCAATCAGGCGGTCAGTCTGGGATCCACAGGGAAGGAACGTCCTATGAAGCTCTCTTTCTTTGGATCCAAACGGTGAAGGAGGATTGTTCTCAGTATAGCCCTAGTATCCTCTGGAACTGTAATCAGTGACACTGCACTAAGAAGTGGAGTTGTGCAAACCATTTTCCTTGGGTCATTGGTCACCATCGCTTCCTTTTCTGGGGTGGAAACCAGGAACAGAGCATGCACTCTTTCCACCCCAGTTCTTTCAAAGTCCATGGCCTTGGGTAGGGTACATTTACAATGCTCTGAAGTAGACTCCTTTACAAAACCACTAAAATCTCAACAGTGTTAGTGAGGAATAGCTTCCCAAAACATGCCCAGCTTTTCTTTAATTTGGTGGCACAGTTCCAGGCAAGGGACTGGATACAGGCCTGGATCAGAACCTCTTGGTTACCAGAGCTGGAGATTCTATTCAAAAATAGGGATTTTTCTGCAGCTATTACTTTTCCAAAACTGATTTCATTTTACACACACGTTTTTAGCACCCACAAAGGATAAATTCATTCAATCCTATTTCCTCAACATCTGTGTTGTGAAGGGCAGCATCTCCTAGACCATAGGATTAGCTAGGAGCGCTGTTCTGTAGGGCCTGGGTTACACATGCTTTGGGAACCAAATACATGGGCATTTTGCCTAGTTCAAAATCACTTACCATGGAATTCTCTCCCCTGATTATCACAGACAATATGGACTTAAACAATTGAAATACACTGTAATCATATGCACATCCACCAATTAGTTGGGGTTCTGCTCGTTGTTCACCATTTCTGAGTGAACATTTTAAATCATGGCTGTTTCTTTGTTAGCTGTTTCTTTGTTCAACTTACTGGACAAAGAAACAGCAGTGATTTAGAGAGTTCTCTGCTGTTGACAGAACTGCACTTGAACTTTCTCCACGTCATCATGGAGGGATGGGGAAAAAGCAACGCTGAAGTGAGAAAATCAGTTTAGCAAATGGTCGTTTGTCTTAAATTCTCCAGTAAATCTGAGCTACTTCCTATCAAACTGAACTAATATCCGTTTGGCTGACCAAACGGTATTCAGGAAAGATAGAAACCCACATCACAGAGAGATAGAATACATGACAATGAAAGTGTCAAGTGAAATTTCAGAGCAGGTTACATCTGATTATTCAGAATTGGGACAAGAGATTCTCCCATCACATTCTTCTATGATCCATTCAAACATACTTCACTCAGCACTGTCTCAAGAGTCAGTTATGTTATTTACAACATTTTTAGTATCATAGCATCCAAATAATGGGGGGGGGGGGAAGGGGTGGGAGAGAGAACAGGACAGCCACTTAGCCAGAAGTGGCTTTAACAATAAATGGAACCTGGGATTTAAACTCCAAATAATCACACTGTGTTTGGGATCCATCTGAATTCCCCTTCCAGGTCTTTGACACTTTCATCTCCAGTCATAGAGACTGATATAGGATTAAAGAAGTCAAAGCATCATCTCCACGCACAGACAGCTGAGAACTCTTCCTCACATGACACTTTGAGAAGTGGATGTGTAGAACGTGATGAAGATAAACTCTGCATGGCTCAGACAAAAGGTAACCGTTCTGCAGTGATGGGGAAGGAGGGAATCTGAGTCTCCCCATCTCCTTCCAGTGTCACGAAGGCTGAAATGACACTTTCCCCCCCTGCCCCTACCCCTCTTCCTTTAAATATAAAATTTTAAAAGTTCCCAGTATAACTGCTCTTCAGCACAACCCAGAGCAACGTGAGAACTGGCAATGATACAATCTATCATTGGTGACTCTGACAATAACTTTGCAATAGGAGGAATTGTATAAATGTGATACTCCCTGGTTCCCTGTAGGAAGGGCACACTCGAATTACTCATGGGACAATGGAGTTGATAGAAAGGACATATGGGTCAATTTCAAAACAGGGTGAATGGCAAAAGGCAAAAATGGGCCACTCATGGGGGTGGTGGGAAGGGATAGCTCAGTGGTTTGAGCATTGGCCTGCTAAACCCACGGTTGCGAGTTCAATCCCTGAGGGGGTCATTTAGGGATCTGGGGCAAAAATTGGGGATTGGTCTTGCTTTGAGCAGGGCATTGGACGAGATGACCTCCTGGGGTCCCTTCCAACCCTGATATTCTAAGAAAAAAAGTACAGATAGCCCTAGAGGTTTTTACGGTCCTGATCTCCCTTGCAGTTTCTCTGATGTCTAACATGGGCTGAGTGCCAAGAGAAGGTATTCCCACACTCAGTGCATTCATAGGGCCTCTCCCCTGTGTGGGTTCTCTGATGTTCAGAAAGGACTGAACTGCTAATGAAGTTTTTCCCACACTCACTGCATTTATAGGGCCTCTCTCCTGTGTGGATTGTCTGATGCCTAATAAGGTGCGACCTGCGATTGAAGGTTTTCTGACATTCAGTGCATTCATAAGGTCTCACATCGGTGTGGATATTCTGATGTTCAGAAAGGGCTGATTGGTGAGTGAAGTTTTTCCCACACTCACTGCATTTATAGGGCCTCTCCCCTGTGTGGATTCTCTGATGCCTAACAAGGGTCCAGCTGCGACTGAAGGTTTTTCCACACTCACTGCATTCATAGGGTCTCATACCGGTGTGGATTGTCTGGTGTTCAGAAAGGGCTGATCGGTGAGTGAAGTTTTTCCCACACTCACTGCATTCATAGGGCCTCTCCTCTGTATGGATTCTCTGATGCCGTATAAGGGTCGAGCTGCGACTGAAGGTTTTCCCACACTCAAGGCATTCGTAGGGTCTCACGCTGGTGTGGATTTTCTGATGTTCAGAAACAGCTGAACGGGTAGTGAAATTTTCCCCACACTCACGGCATTGATAGGGCCTCTCCCCTGTGTGAATCCTCTGATGTTCAGAAAGGGCTGAGTTGGTAGTGAAGCTTTTCCCACACTCACGGCATTGATAGGGCCTCTCCCCGGTGTGAATTCTCTGATGTTGAAAAAGGCCTGAAGTGTGAGTGAAGCTTTTCCCACACTCACTGCATTCATACGGCCTCTCCCCTGTGTGGATTCTCTGATGCCTAATAAGGTGTGAACTGTGAGTGAAGTTTTTCCCACACTCACTGCATTCATAGGGCCTCTCCCCTGTGTGGATTCTCTGATGCCGAATAAGGGTCCAGCTGCGATTGAAGGTTTTCCCGCACTCACGGCATTCATAGGGTCTCACGCTGGTGTGGATTTTCTGATGTTCAGAAACAGCTGAACGGGTAGTGAAATTTTCCCCACACTCACGGCATTGATAGGGCCTCTCCTCTGAGTGGATTCTCTGATGCTGAAAAAGGCCTGAAGAGCGAGTGAAGCTTTTCCCACACTTACTGCATTCATAGGGCCTCTCCTCTGAGTGGAGTCTCTGATGCTGAAAAAGGCCTGAAGAGCGAGTGAAGCTTTTCCCACACTTACTGCATTCATAGGGCCTCTCTCCTGTGTGGACTCTCTGATGCCTAAAAAGATTTGAACTGTGATTGAAGGTTTTCCTACACTTACTGCATTCATAGGGCCTCTCTCCTGCATGGGTTCTCTGATGCTTTATAAGGGCTGAGTCGTCACGTACATTTTCCCCACGCTTAGTGCATGTTTTTTCTCTCTTTCCCTGGAAGATTTCCTGCTGTGTTGTGATTTCCTTGAGGTCCTTGTGAATTCCCTGACTTGAAATTAACTTACCCTCCTCCTCCCCTGGCTGGTTTCCCTGTTCTCTTTCTGGTCTGTGATGAGTCTCACAGGATTTTCCCTGCTCGTGACTCCTGGATGCATTTCTTTTCAATCTTTGCGATAATTCTCTGTGTTTATCCACTTGCTCAACATTTTCTTGCTGAGAATTCTGCTCTTCTTTCTCACACACCATTGCATCACCAGCTGTGATAGAGACAGAAACCTCAAAACAGGGACGGAAGAGGGAAGGCCAAACCAAAACAAATTCTGCAGAGAGGTCAAGTAAAAATCAGGAACTGAACTCCCCCAAACTCTTCCCCCAAATGTAGTAGTAGGATTTTATGTTTGTATTTTATAGAATTTAGAATGAAGGATAAAGAATAAGAATGTAGCATGTATTAAATGTATTTAGTGTTTGATCTGATCAAATCCTACCAGCCACCCTTTTTGAATAACAGAAAGGAAGGGCCTAATGGGCCAATGGATAGAGATACATCAGCCAGAATCTGTGTCTGGACTGATTTCAAGGCAGTAACAGACCTTTGAGGGTCACCAATTTGTTGTAGGTTTAGCATTTTAAAATAAGTAAACGAATGCCATGATTGTTTTCTTTTGCATTGCAATTTGATGTTCTTGTTCAAAATGTTGTATGTAAATTAATTCTGTTGTGTGTGTGAATGAGGAATGTGTGAAGAGATAAGTGTGAAGGCCATCGCTGAACCAGATGTATGAGGGAGGAACTGGAGACAGATGCAAGGGCACCAGGACGCTGCAACAAGCCCCTAGTGAAATGTGAGAAGAGGGAAGATTGATGACTCTAAAGCTGAGACAGGCCCCTATCACAGGGGACAAGATAGCTGTGATCAAAACCAGCTTGGGATAACTCCCTGAGGATCTTGATGGAAGAAAAAGATAAAAGGATGAGGAGCACAATTTAAGAAAACAAGCACTCAAACACCAATTGATTACAGAATAATGGTGCAAAACTCATTGGTCCCTGTCAAGGTTCCTTCCCCACTCTGAACTCTAGGGTACAGATGTGGGGACCTGCATGAAAGACCCCCCAAGTTTATTCTTACCAGCTTAGGTTAAAAACTTCCCCAAGGTACAAACTTTGCCTTGTCCTTGAACAGTATGCTGCCACCGCCAAGCGTTTTAAATAAAGAACAGGGAAAGAGACCACTTGGAAATGTCTTTCCCCAAAATACCCGCCCCCCCCCAAGCCCTATACCCCCTTTCCTGGGGAAGGCTTGATAATAATCCTCACCAATTGGTACAGGTGAACACAGACCCAAACCCTTGGATCTTAAGAACAAAGAAAAATCAGATTCTTAGAAGAAGAATTTTAATGAAAGAAAAGGTAAAAGAATCACCTCTGTAAAATCAGGATGGTAAATACCTTACAGGTTAATCAGATTCAAAACATAGAGAATCCCTCTAGGCAAAATCTTAAGTTACAAAAAGACTCAAAAACAGGAATATACATTCCCTCTAGCACAGCTTATTTTACCAGCCATTAAACAAAAGAAAATCTAACGCATTTTCTAGCTAGATTACTTACTAACTTTACAGGAGTTGGAAGGCTGCATTCCTGATCTGTTCCCGGCAAAAGCATCACACAGACAGACAGACCCCTTTGTTTCCCCCACTTCCAGATTTGAAAGTATCTTGTCCCCTCATTGGGGATTTTGGGTCAGGTGCCAGCAAGGTTACCTTAGCTTCTTAACCCTTTACAGGTGAAAGGGTTTTGCCTCTGGCCAGGAGGAATTTTATAGCACTGTATACAGAAAGGCGGTTACCCTTCCCTTTATGACAGTCCCAATGAAGGAAAATCTGTATATAAACAGGGTGCCTTGCCATAAAAATTTGGGTTTGTCCTGCCAAGATTTCCCCGGAACATTGTGTAGCAACAAATGGAAATTGGCTCCTCCCTACCAGGGATCAGCCTAGCTGGCTGCTAGATCGATCCGGACTCCAGACCGGTAACTATAACATCGACTGGCGGGACAGTGTGTTTGTGTGTGGTGTGACTGAATGCATATATACTAATTACTGTATCTTCAATAAACACAGCATATTGCCTTCTCCCCTGAAAAAGATCTTGTGTGCTTCTTATAAGCATAAGATTTTTGGTGGAGAATTGCAAAAGGGTGAAAACATGCACTGTGATTGTTGAACATACTGCTAAATATTGCTAAAAGGTATACCATACATACAAAGTAATCATTCCGTTGTACACACCCCCGGTCGGAGAAGATACACGCAATAGGAGTCCTAGCTCCAACCCATCTGTCGGGGGAAACTGGATAGGTGAATATACGCTCGGTCATAGCGGGACCAAGCCCAAAGCGTAGAGAGCATAGTGTTTCCCCCGCTCTGTCAGGCGGAATTCTTTTTAGTGGGTATAGACTTATGTGTTTTGTAAGTCCCAGCATGAACGTGGGCATGGAAAAGTTATAGAGGTAAAACAAATTCATTAAAGAAAATGTTTAGGCAGTGTTTTCTATGCGAGACCCAACTCTGAAGAATAAAGGAGTGTGGGAGAATAATGGCAGCACCTGCGTAAGAAATGTTTAAAAGGAAGCAATCCAATGACGATACTTTGTTTGAGAGATTACTCCCCTTTTAAACAGATCTTGCTCTGTTAAACCAAACTCTGAAGGATAAAGGAGTTTGGGCAATGTAGTATTTTTTTGTGAATGATATTGTGATTTCCCCAATTTTAAAAGAAATGGTTAAGGAAAGGGACCAGGCGGGCCTCCTTGCTAAATTGGTAGTGGAACAAAGCCTGTGTCCATGAAAAGGGAGGGTTCAGCGAGGAAAGTAGGGTCAGGCCCAGACAAGCAAGTAGGCAACAAAAAAAAAAAAAAAAAAAAAAAAGGAAAACAGGTTGGAAGCCCTGAGGGCATAGTGGCAAAAAAGTAAGTATAGGCTTATGGAATTCAGATCCCTGGAACCCCACCGTATTCTTGCCAGCAAGTTAATGAAGTATGGGCTGGATGAATGGACTATAAGGTGGATAGAAAGCTGGCTAGATCGTCAGGCTCAACGGGAAGCGATCAATGGCTCCATGTCTAGTTGGCAGTCGGTATCAAGTGGAGTGCCCCAAGGGTCGGTCCTGGGGCCAATTTTGTTTAATATCTTCATTAATGATCTGGAGGATGGCATGGACTGCACCCTCAGCAAGTTTACAGATGACACTAAACTGGGAGGAGTGGTAGATACGCTGGAGAGTAGGGATAGGACAGAGGGACCTAGACCAATGAGAGGATTGGGCCAAAAGAAATCTGATGAGGTTCAACAAGGACAAGTGCAGAGTCCTGCACTTAGGACGAAAGAAACCCATGTACTGCTACAGTCTAGGGATCGAATGGCTCAGCAGCAGTTCTGCAGAAAAGGACCTAGGGGTTACAGTGGACGAGAAGCTGGAGATGAGTCAGCAGTGTGCCCTTGTTGCCAAGAAGGCTAATGGCATTTTGGGTTATATAAGTAGGGGGCATTGCCAGATCAAGGGACGTGATCATTCCCCTCTATTCAGCATTGGTGAGGCCTCATCTGGAGTACTGTGTCCAGTTTTGGGCCCCACACTACAAGAAGGATGTGGGAAAATTGCATAGAGTCCAGCGGAGGGCAACAAAACAAAACGATTAGGGGGCTGGAACACATGCCTTATGAGGAGAGGCTGAGGGAACTGGGATTGTTTAGTCTATGGAAGAGAAGAATGAGGGGGGGGATTTGATAGCTGCTTTCAACTACCTGAAAGGGGGTTCCAAAAAGAGGATGGATCTAGACTGTTCTCAGTGATAGCAGATGACAGAATGAGGAGTAATGGTCTCAAGTTGCAGTGGGGGAGATTTAGGTTGGATATTAGGAAAAACTTTTTCACTAGGAGGGTGGTGAAACACTAGAATGCGTTACCTAGGGAGGTGGTGGAATCTCCTTCCTTAGAGGTTTTTAAGGTCAGGCTTGACGAAGCCCTGGCTGGGATGATTTAGTTGGGGATCGGTCCTGCTTTGAGCAAGGGGTTGGACTAGATGACCTCCTGAGGGCCCTTCCAACCCTGATATTCTATTATTATGATTCTATGAATGGTAAAAGCGGAGTTGATGAAGGTGTCATTTTGGGAGATTAACAGGCGATTAAAAAAAAGACTGAGAAGTTAACTCTGCAGAGGCTGGAGGGAATTAAGCAGTTGAACATTGTAAAAATGTTAAAAAGGCAAAGGATTATTGTAGCAGGGCAGAGGTAAACCCCTTAGATGCCCTGCTAAAAAGCTGGCTGCGCCCCGCTTTCTCGCAGGGAGGCCAGACGCAAGGGCCCAGGCACTCAGCAGGGAGCCCAGCTGCAGGCCCTAATAAGGGCTGGCTCAGAGTAATAAGCTGAGCCAAGTAGAGAGAGCTGGGCTGAGGTCTGGGAGGGCTATATAAATGCTGGAAGAAGCTCAGGAAGGAGGCTAGCCTGGGAGGAGACAGGAGGGCTACATCTCTGCCTCCTTACCAACTGACGGGAGCCTCAAGGGCCAGAAGACCCTGGGGAGGGTCTGTGAGGGAATAGCTGTTAGGGGAATTGGGGCTGCATAAAGCACTGTAAATAAAGACAGGCTGGTGAAACAGCTGAAGGTGGTGTTGGGACTCTTTATTTAACCAGCCCAAGCACAGGGCGCAGGGACAAGAGGGTGGACCCCGTGACAGTTATAGAAAGAGAACGCTTGGTTTCCTTTGCAGCCGTTCTGAAGGGAAAATGGGCTGTATTCCAAAGGAATGTCTGTAAATAAGACAGGCAGAGAGACAATCTCATTTAAATCATTAGCCTATGAGCAATTTAGTGAAATTCGCTAAAAGAACATAAGGGGTTCCTAGTGGAACATAACTGCCCCCAAATGTATACAAATGTTATCTATGGACAGCTGTGTAAAAATTCAAGCAGTGCAAAGAATGTTCAGAAAAAAAAGGAGTGTATAAATAGAGTGTGTAAATATGTGGAGTGTTTAAGACCTAAAGCAACACTCCTGGTTTGCAAAACTCTTGTTTTGTGGGTTTACGATGAATTGGTTTTGTTTTTAAATAATACAACTAAAATCCATTTGACTCTTTCATTCAAAGTTGCAAAACTGAGAAATTTTTTGCCAGATACAGGTAACTAGTGTTGTTTGATTTCGTATTTAGCGTTTAACCCTTTAGGTACCTTAATGCT